CCTTATTCAGAGGTGCTACATTTTCATTTTAATTTAATTTTTTATTTTAAATAAAATATAAATTAATGTTTTAACTATTAATTGTTTAAAAAATCAGTGTTTTTTTTTATATTTACGAGGTTCTATTCCTAAATCGGTAGGAGAGTTGAAAAAGGAAAAAACCTGGGTACTCGAGGATAAAACTGGGGGGGCCACCCTGACTGACACCAAACTTAGCTCAAAAATCTATCAAATTCACCGAGTTCCAACCATTTCTGTGTTTGCTAAGTTTAGTTAACTGTGGCGGCCATTTTGAATGTGGCTGACTTCAAAGTGGATCAGTTGTAGAGACACATCTCTACATCTGTTCAATCTGTTCATCAGGTCAGCAGATATTTTGCTAACAGACAGGTGCATTGGAAACACATCACCTGTCCTTTTAGATCCTAGTGGTCAAGGTTCTGATTGGTCAGGTCTGAGTCCAGGTCTCAGGTCTGGGTCCAGGTCTTGTGGTCTGGCTCTAGTATCATTCCTCCATAAACCGATTGTTTAGTTAGTTTAACTAGTCTGACAGGAAGTGAACTGGTCTGACAGGAAGTGAACTGGTCTGACAGGAAGTGAACTGGTCTGACAGGAAGTGAACTGGTCTAACAGGAAGTGTTTCTCTAATGTGAATCTAAAGGTTTGGCTTCTTCAGAGTTTTAAAATATCTACATCTAAATGTGAACATTTTCCTGCTGAAACGTGTTTTTTAACTTGTTCCTGTTGGTTCCTGATGAAAACACTTGACAGGTAAGACTCACCTGTGTGTCCAGATGTAAACATGTTGTTGTATTTTTTAATGTTTCCAGTGAAAACTCTGTGGAGAACCCAGATGTGACCAGTTTGTCTGCATGGAGCCCCAGCAAGGAACTCAAGGAGTCTCTGGTGGACATGTACAGAGGTAAGTGAGGCTTGTATTTGTACTACAGTATTAGTACAGCTGTACTACTGATTGTTTCTATGTTTTAATAGAGTTTGAAGGTTAATCTTTGGTCTGAAATATTTAAAATCAGTCCAAAAGGATTCAGTTAATGATGTAATGAGTCAGTCTGTCCACCAGGGGGCGCAGTGCTTCTTCAAACAGCTCCACTCTAATCACTACTTCTGATAGAATTTATTTCTTATTGATTATTTCTGAGTTCATACTTGTTTTTTTAGCTGTAGAACCTTTTCTGGGTCACATATAGACCTGGTCAGGACCACTGGTCCTTCTGGGGTCCAAAACCAGCTTCTAACAAGGAGAAACGTTTTTGTGTGACTGTTAGTGTCAGAGTAAAGGTCAGGGTCAGACTACAGAACTGAATGTAAGTGTGTACTATAAGGCTAGAAGTACACATTTTTGTTTGTTTATCTGTTAGCAAAATACCTCCCCGACCACTGGGCTGATATTCTCCAGGCTCTCAGGTTGATGAATGGATGAACATTTGGTTTGAGATAAACTGATTCAAGATGGACGACGTAAGTAACACATCAAACACAAAATGTCTACAACTCAGGGATTCTTACAGACACTGAGCTTAAATTTAGCGTGGTCGTAGCTGAGAGCTAACAGGTGGTTTAGTCAAGAGATTAATTTAAACTCTGGTTTTTGTTGTCTTTAGATGAAATATAAGTGAAGCTGAGGGAAAGAAGTTAGCTTTTAGCTTATGTTTTGCTAGTTTTTAAATACTTTTTGGCTGTTTATATAGCATTTTGTTTCTTGTAGCTGTTAGCATTTTGTTTCTTTCATTTCTTTTGCTACAATTCTTTTAGTTTAGCTTTTTGATGCATTTACCATTTTTATACTTTTTTGTTTTTCCTGATTTTTTTAGATTTAATAACTAATTTCAGCTTCTTTTCCCAAGCTTATAACAACAACATATTTACTAAAGTCACTTTTTTCACTGACAAACTCAATGTTTTTCTTGTTAACTCTGGTTTAAAACCATCGAGTTTTATCTGATGCACACTTTCACTGCCCGTCCAGCTGACTGAAGGAACGTGCACGGTGTTGAGCTGTGGGTTTGGAAACAGCTCTGAGGTGGTAGTGGTGTGTGTGTGTGTGTGTGTGTGTGTGTGTG